TTAAGAAAATGATCAAATAAAATAGATTGAGAGAAAACATTCATATTACACACACACACACATACACACACACACACACACACATACATACATATATATTTTTTAATCCACTGCTCTCGTTTTGATTTTTTTTATAACCTTACTAGCAACTCTAAGGGGAGAAAAGTACTTGGCTCTGTTAAGCATCCTACCATGTTACAAAGTGAGGTGTTTGGGGACTCTTGTGCCTTCACAAGCTTGTATCTCCGTTTTGCTTGAACTCAGATAAAATATTGAGGGTCATGTCTTCACTCTTGGATTGCAAATTTGCCTCACTTCTTCTGGAAGCTTTCCTGGTTGCTCGGGAGAGTCTCCTTCTAAAAGTATCACCAGCCAAGAAATACAGAATGGGGTCCACACAGCTGTTGAGACTTGCTAGACCTCTTGTCACCTGGTAAGTGGCATAAACCCTGTCATTGAAAGCACACATTTCTCGGGTCTGAAAATCTAGCCGAGCTCTCAAGTTCATCGTTTTCATCACATGGAAAGGGATATAAGATACAGCAAAAACAGTGAGTACAATAATCACCAGGTAAATGGATTTCCTCCTAAGAGGCGAGTTGTCCAGGTCTTTGTAAATCAAAGCTCGCACAATTAAGCCGTAGCAGCCCAGTATCATCACCAAGGGGACACAGAACATGGCCACGGTGGTGCACATGCTGTAGATGAAATAACTTCGCAGATACTCATCTGAGGTGGTGTCATAGCAGGTGATGGTTTTGTTTTTCCGAACTCCGGTTCCAGAGTAGAAGAGGATGGGGGAGATGGCCACCACCACGATGAGCCACACCAGCACGCTGATACAGACGGCGTTCTTCTTCTTGAGCCTGCCCAGGGACTTGAGAGGGTACACCACGCCACTGTACCTGTGCGCGCTGATGCACGTCAGGAACAGGATACTGCCATAAAGGTTCACATGGAAGATGAACCTCTGCAGCTTGCACATGGCATCCCCGAAGATCCAGTCCGTCTTGTTGAAGTAGTAGAAGATGAGGGCTGGCAGAGTCAGCACGTACAAGAAGTCGGCCAGAGCCAAGTTGAACATGTACACGGAGATGCCGCTCCAAGGTTTCATGTGGAAAACAAACATCCAGATGGCCACGCTGTTGCCCAGAAAGCCAATGATGAACACCAAGATGTAGACGGCCGGCAGGTAGTAGAACTGGAAGCCTGTCTTGGTCAGGGCACATCTGAAGGAGGGGCCGGCGTCGGCGGTGGACGCGGCTGTGCCGTTTCCCCACGGCAAGCCCGGGCCAGCCAAGAAGGCAGCGTCCGTCCCGTTGGGGACGGCCGGCCACAGCACCTCGGTCATGCTCTCCTCGCCGACTTAGCAGGTCGGAAGGACAAGCGGCGGCAAGCGGGAGGCGATGGCACGGGACTCAGCGAGCATCGGAAAAGCCGGGGAGAGGAAGGGCTGGGGCGCGGGGGATCCCCGCGGAAGGGGGCGCGCGGGGGCTCGCCCACGCCAGCTTCAGGACCACGTTCGCCTCGGGCCATGAAATCCGCCCGGATCCGCGACCGAACCAGGCTGGCGGGCGGGCAGGCAACTTCCCGGTCGGGCTGGTGGCTCCGAGGTTACACAACAGGGCGCACAGGGCACTGACAACTTTCCAACTGCGCTTTCCCGAGGGTCCGCGGGTCCGCGCTGCAGAGCACGCCCGGCGAGCAGCTAGATCAAGCCAAACTCGGTCGGCTGTGCTCCAGCGAGAAGCGGGCGCAGCCCACTCCTCTTCTCCCAAAGATCAGCTTCGCTTGGGCATCTTCCTTCTCCTACCTTGGAAGCGAGACGCGGGGCTTCGTGACTCTGCGTCGCTTCTTCCGGGCCCTCTCCTCCCGCGTTCAACCTCCGAGGGCCATCGGAGCGCTCCTGGCGGCCGCCCGCTGTGCTGCTGGGTCTCTTCCCGCCCGCCGTCCGTGCAGTCGGG